TATAAATTGTTGTTGCATTTATATTTCCTTTCGCATTTTTTTTATGGATAACATTTTTGTCTGCAGAGAAGTGAATGTGAATTTGAATATATTCTAGACTAAAGAAAACCCCCAAAAACAATTCCAGACAAGCTAACAGGCCAGGGAGGCAGTCATCCAACCAGGCAGCCAAACAACAAACCAACCAACCAGGCTAACATCATAAAACGTGAGGTTAAAGTTAATTGTTATTGTTGGAGACCCAACAAAACCCTTTTGTCGAAGGAAAAACTAGAAAAAAATGGAATAGCTACTGTGCGAAGCTAATGTAAGAATAATCCTTGGGAGTTAAAGAGCTCACACAGATACTCTCACACACACATATACTCATAAATATTTTGAATCATAAAACTTATTCACATATAGCAAAAAAATTATACTTGGAAGTTTACTATTCAAAATGCATTGAATATGAATTAATGAAAGGTCACAAGTATGGGAAGTTACATTTTTGTAATCACAATACTGCAAGTGAATGTTTTTAAATTGACTTTTAGGCTAAGACTAACCTTGAAAATATTCTTTAATAGAAAGCGCCTTATAAGCCACAGCTAACTTTGAAAATATTCTTTAAAAATCCACACCTTATAGGCTCAATATAATCTTGAAAATATTCTTTACAAATCCCCTCATTATAGGCTCCTAAAAAAATATTCTTAAAAAAAAATAAAAAAAATATATCAAAAAAATATTCTTAAAAAAGGCACGCATTTTTTACACATTTACATTTATATTGAAAAAGTTCTTTAAAAACCACGCATTATTTGGTCAAGGTAACATTGAAAAAATTCTTTAAAAACCACGCCTTATTTGAAAAAATTCTTTAAAAACCACGCCTTATTTGAAAAAATTCTTTAAAAACCACGCCTTATTTGAAAAAATTCTTTAAAAACCACGCCTTATTTGAAAAAATTCTTTAAAAACCACGCCTTATTTGAAAAAATTCTTTAAAAACCACGCCTTATTAAAAAAAATTCTTTAAAAACCACGCCTTATTTGAAAAAAATCTTTAAAAACCACGCCTTATTTGAAAAAAATTCTTTAAAAACCACGCCTTATTTGAAAAAATTCTTTAAAAACCACGCCTTATTTGAAAAAATTCTTTAAAAACCACGCCTTGTTTGAAAAAATTCTTTAAAAACCACGCCTTATTTGAAAAAATTCTTTAAAAACCACGCCTTATTCGGTCAAGCTAACATTGAAAAAATTCTTTAAAAACCACGCCTTATTCGGTCAAGCTAACATTGAAAAAATTCTTTAAAAATCCACGCCTTATTCGGTCAAGCTAACATTGAAAAAATTCTTTAAAAATCCACGCCTTATTCGGTCAAGCTAACATTGAAAAAATTCTTTAAAAATCCACGCCTTATTCGGTCAAGCTAACATTGAAAAAATTCTTTAAAAATCCACGCCTTATTCGGTCAAGCTAACATTGAAAAAATTCTTTAAAAATCCACGCCTTATTCGGTCAAGCTAACATTGAAAAAATTCTTTAAAAATCCACGCCTTATTCGGTCAAGCTAACATTGAAAAAATTCTTTAAAAATCCACGCCTTATTCGGTCAAGCTAACATTGAAAAAATTCTTTAAAAATCCACGCCTTATTCGGTCAAGCTAACATTGAAAAAATTCTTTAAAAATCCACGCCTTATTCGGTCAAGCTAACATTGAAAAAATTCTTTAAAAATCCACGCCTTATTCGGTCAAGCTAACATTGAAAAAATTCTTTAAAAATCCACGCCTTATTCGGTCAAGCTAACATTGAAAAAATTCTTTAAAAATCCACGCCTTATTCGGTCAAGCTAACATTGAAAAAATTCTTTAAAAATCCACGCCTTATTCGGTCAAGCTAACATTGAAAAAATTCTTTAAAAATCCACGCCTTATTTGGTCAAGCTAACATTGAAAAAATTCTTTAAAAATCCACGCCTTATTTCTTTAAAAATCCACGCCTTATTCGGTCAAGCTAACATTGAAAAAATTCTTTAAAAATCCACGCCTTATTCGGTCAAGCTAACATTGAAAAAATTCTTTAAAAATCCTCGCCTTATTTGGTCATGCTAACATTGAAAAAATTCTTTAAAAATCCACGCCTTATTTGGTCAAGCTAACATTGAAAAAATTCTTTAAAAATCCACGCCTTATTCGGTCAAGCTAACATTGAAAAAATTCTTTAAAAATCCACGCCTTATTTGGTCAAGCTAACATTGAAAAAATTCTTTAAAAATCCACGCCTTATTCGGTCAAGCTAACATTGAAAAAATTCTTTAAAAATCCACGCCTTATTCGGTCAAGCTAACATTGAAAAAATTCTTTAAAAATCCACGCCTTATTCGGTCAAGCTAACATTGAAAAAATTCTTTAAAAATCCACGCCTTATTTGGTCAAGCTAACATTGAAAAAATTCTTTAAAAATCCACGCCTTATTTCTTTAAAAATCCACGCCTTATTCGGTCAAGCTAACATTGAAAAAATTCTTTAAAAATCCACGCCTTATTCGGTCAAGCTAACATTGAAAAAATTCTTTAAAAATCCACGCCTTATTCGGTCAAGCTAACATTGAAAAAATTCTTTAAAAATCCACGCCTTATTCGGTCAAGCTAACATTGAAAAAATTCTTTAAAAATCCACGCCTTATTCGGTCAAGCTAACATTGAAAAAATTCTTTAAAAATCCACGCCTTATTCGGTCAAGCTAACATTGAAAAAATTCTTTAAAAATCCACGCCTTATTCGGTCAAGCTAACATTGAAAAAATTCTTTAAAAATCCACGCCTTATTCGGTCAAGCTAACATTGAAAAAATTCTTTAAAAATCCACGCCTTATTCGGTCAAGCTAACATTGAAAAAATTCTTTAAAAATCCACGCCTTATTCGGTCAAGCTAACATTGAAAAAATTCTTTAAAAATCCACGCCTTATTCGGTCAAGCTAACATTGACAAAATTCTTTAAAAATCCACGCCTTATTCGGTCAAGCTAACATTGAAAAAATTCTTTAAAAATCCACGCCTTATTCGGTCAAGCTAACATTGAAAAAATTCTTTAAAAATCCACGCCTTATTCGGTCAAGCTAACATTGAAAAAATTCTTTAAAAATCCACGCCTTATTCGGTCAAGCTAACATTGACAAAATTCTTTAAAAATCCACGCCTTATTCGGTCAAGCTAACATTGAAAAAATTCTTTAAAAATCCACGCCTTATTCGGTCAAGCTAACATTGAAAAAATTCTTTAAAAATCCACGCCTTATTCGGTCAAGCTAACATTGAAAAAATTCTTTAAAAATCCACGCCTTATTCGGTCAAGCTAACATTGAAAAAATTCTTTAAAAATCCACGCCTTATTCGGTCAAGCTAACATTGAAAAAATTCTTTAAAAATCCACGCCTTATTCGGTCAAGCTAACATTGAAAAAATTCTTTAAAAATCCACGCCTTATTCGGTCAAGCTAACATTGAAAAAATTCTTTAAAAATCCACGCCTTATTCGGTCAAGCTAACATTGAAAAAATTCTTTAAAAATCCACGCCTTATTCGGTCAAGCTAAATTGAAAAAATTCTTTAAAAATCCACGCCTTATTTCAAGGAAAAAATTCTTTAAAAATCCACGCCTTATTTGGTCAAGCTAACATTGAAAAAATTCTTTAAAAATCCACGCCTTATTTCTTTAAAAATCCACGCCTTATTCGGTCAAGCTAACATTGAAAAAATTCTTTAAAAATCCACGCCTTATTCGGTCAAGCTAACATTGAAAAAATTCTTTAAAAATCCTCGCCTTATTTGGTCATGCTAACATTGAAAAAATTCTTTAAAAATCCACGCCTTATTTGGTCAAGCTAACATTGAAAAAATTCTTTAAAAATCCACGCCTTATTCGGTCAAGCTAACATTGAAAAAAATCTTTAAAAATCCACGCCTTATTTGGTCAAGCTAACATTCAACATATTCTTTTAAAATCCACGCCTTATTTGGTCAAGCTAACATTCAACATATTCTTTTAAAATCCACGCCTTTTGAGCTAAGGCTGACCTACAAAATATTCTTTAAAAATCCACGCCTTTTGAGCTAAGGCTGACCTACAAAATATTCTTTTATAATCCACGCCTTGTAATCTAAGCCTGGCCTTCATAATATTTATTATTTCACATTTTTTGTGCCTAGGCTGGCCTTTAAAATATTCTTTAAAAATCCACGCTTTAAAGGTCTTCTTTAAACATAAGAGTATTGATATAAATATTCGTTAAAAATCTACGCCTTTTGAGCCGAAGACAGCCTTGAAAGTGTTCGTTAAAAACCTATGCCTTTTGAGCCGAAGATAGCATTGAAAGTGTTCGTTAAAAATCTACGGCTTTTTAAGCTGAAGACAAACTTCAAAATATTCTTTAAAAATTTAAGCCTTTTGAACCGAAGATAGTTTTAAAAACATTCTTTAAGGATCCATGCCTTTTGAACCGAAGATAGTCTTCAAAATAATCTTTTAGAATCCACGTCTTTTGAGCTGAAGCTGGCCTTTAAATTGTTCTTTTAGAATCCACATCTTTTGAGCTGAAGACAGCCTTGAAAATATTCGTTAAAAATCCACGCCTTTTGAGCCTAGGCTGGCCTTGGAAATATTCTTTAAAAATTCATGCCTTTTAAGCCTATGCTGGCCTTTAAAATATTCTTTCAAAATCTACACATTTTGTATCATATCTTTACACCTCCTTTTCATCATTCCTTCATTTATTTATCAGACCTCCTGTTTTACACGCATTCCACGCAGTAATTATTCCAAGGTGATGATATCATCATCATCACCATGGCTGTGATTTATATAACATTTATATAACAAACGTTTGTTTACAACTTACCTTGGCCACCATGGCAAAAACACTACCACAGCAACAACGTCAAGGTTAGACTAATATTAAAAAAAAAGAGAATTATATTAGTCCTCCATCAATTGCATTGCGAAAGTCGTAACGATGATATCGCGTAGAGATAAACTTTTAAATTATCCCTGGGAACAGAGACGCTATGAACAGCATAGAGAAAAAGTTAAGTCCGCCAAGGCAGCCATAGATCGTTCACCGCCTATTTTCTATCCCCATATTGTACAAAAAGCCAAGAAGCAACAATCCGAACGGGAACGTATTCTTCATGTGGAGGCGGAAAATGTACGTTTGCTACAAAGTCTAGCGGATATTATGCGTAGCAAACGAATGGCGGATTTTTGGAGAGAACCACGGCCAAAGTAAGTCTGAAATTTGAGAGAAGAATAAGAATAATAATTAGAATTAGGTGGAAATCGAGATTCGAATAAGAATTATGACATTTAAAGACATAGATAGACACAAACATGGAAAGAGACTTTTTGTTTAGCTCCAGGATTTTGGTTCTTGTCCTCAAAGGCAACATTTGTGCTAGGACTATAATAAAACACTATCTGCTTTATGGAAAAGGCACATTTGTCTTTCACATACAAGTCGATTAACTGACTGGAATCGACTTTAAGTTAATAATTCAAATTCATAGGAATCCTATTCTGTTCTCTAACAACATTAATTAACAATTTTTCAAAAAAATGTATCTTTATATATTCCCCCGTTTTTCATTACAGTTTTTTAAATCGTGAAAAATTATTTGAAATACGTCCAAAAACCACTCAGACCAATTGGTCACCCATGGAAAGTCTAAGGGAGAGTGTTAATACTACGGCGTCGACAAAACGCAATGCCCGCTGTCCAACCTGTAATGGCCGTCCCGAGAAGCCATTGACGGTAAGTATTTCATCTTCTTATTATTTAGATAAAATTGCAAAATAATTTCTATTTTATATGCAGATAATTCCCGAAGCTCGCATACCATGGCAACCGCCACGCATAACCTTTAATAAACGACTAATGAACAGCTGCTATTTGCCTAGTAAAATGAATTTGGGCCAGAAAAAATAATATTGGAAAACATTCGCAATAAACCTGTGCTATAATTTTGCAAAATTTGTTTAATATTTCCATTTACGGGCATTTCGAAAACTTCTAGAATGTTCATAATAGACGCCTTAGAGGTCGTCTTAAAGATCTGGTTTTAACATAAGATTATTGATATCAATCTACACTTATTGAATTGATGATAGCACTGAAAATATTCGTAAAAAATCTACGCCTTTTGAGCCGAAGACAGCCTTGAAAGTGTTCGTTAAAAATCTACGCCTTATAAGCTGAAGACAACCTTCAAAATATGCTTTAAAAATTCACGCCTTTTGAACCGAAGATAGTCTTTAAAATATTCTCATGGAATCCAAATTTTTTGAACCGAAGATAGTCTTCAAATATTCTTTTAGAATCCAAGCCTTTTGAGCTGAAGCTGGCCTTTAAAATATTCTTTAAAAATTTACACCATTCGAGCTGAAGACAACCTTAAAAATATTCGTTAAAAATCTACTCCTTTTGAGCTGAAGATGGCCTTTAAGTATTCTTAAAAAACGCCATTCGAGCTGAAGACAGCCTCCGTTAAAAATTTACCCCTTTAAGCTGAAAATATGATTTAAAATATTACTTAAAATTCCAAGCGATTTGTACTGAAAATATTCTTAAAAATAGTCTTTAAAAATCCACGCCTTTTGGACTGAAGATATTCTTCAAAATAGTCTTTAAAAATCCACTCATTTTCAATTGAAGGAAGTCTTCAAAATATTCTTTTAAACCCAAGATAGTCTTGAGCTGATGCTGGCATTCAAAATATTCATTAAAAATCGACACCATTTGAGCTGGTGCTGACCTTCAAAATATTCTTTAAAAATCAACGCCATTTGAGCTAATGCTGACGCCAAATTCACGTTGATGCTGGCATTCAAAATATTCTTTAAAAACCCACGCCATTTGTGCTGATGCTGGCCTTCAAAATATTCTTTAAAAATCCACGCCATTTGAGCTGATGCTGACGCCAAATCCACGCTGATGCTGGCATTCAAAATATTCTTTAAAAATCCACGCCTTTCGAGCTGAAAATATTCGTTTAAAATCCACGTCATTTGAGTTGATGCTGGCCTTCGAAATATTCTTTAAAAATCCACTACATTTGAGCTGAGGCTGGACTTCAAAATTTACTTTAACATTCCCGCCTCTCGAACTGAAAATACGCCTCTGAGCTGAAAATTATCGGGTACTTTAAAAATACACACCTATTGAGCTGAATATAGCCTTCAACATTTTCAGAAAATATCCACACCTTTTGAACTGAATAAAGCCTCCGGAATATTCTTCTTTCAACAGTAAGCTTTCAAAATTAACAAACAAAATTATACATCATACCATGGTACAATTATAAAAGGTAACAGCAAATCCCAGCTGATTTGATTCCAACGTAATACTAGTGTCAATATGAATTTGACAAATTATGTTTTTAAAAATCACCCAACAGGAAAATTGGGAACGCATACAATTTGAAATTGTTCTTTATTAATGTGCTCCCGTATTCAATTTAAATCTGCCTGCAGGGAAATTTGAGGAAGCAAATCTTTCTTGAATATATACATTAAAAATGTGTTACATATATACACCTATTGAAGCTAGAAATATAAATTTATAGATTTTCCATGTTTTTCAATTTTTATTTTGAGGATTCGAAAATATACATTTTCAAAATAAAAATAATTTGATGACAATTTGTTTGCTTGTTTACATTTTTCTGTCAAATGAGTTCTTTTTACAACAACAAATTTCCAGTAAGCTTTCAAAATTAACAAAATTATACATCATACAAATCATACAACAAACACCAAAAAGAGTTGGCAACACATTGGTAATGTAATTGGTAACACTTCAAAACAGCTGTTTATAGATGAAAATTAATTTTCGAATCCCTATAATGGGCGTTTTTTTACAATCTTTTCATGTTTTCATTTTAATCTTTATCACAATATTCCTCTTCATTTTATTTTTCCTCATTCTACGGCGAAGCAACTTCGAAGTTCGCAATTTTTAGAAAGTCTTGATTTCCTCAAAGATAAAAAGTCGACTTCGACTTTTTGAATTTTCAATACAAAAAATCGATTAATCGATTAGTCGAAAGTCGATTTACTTATCCCTAATCATAATTTGCCTAAACCTCATTCGTAAACAACACGGTTTCCATTTAGTCTCTATCCCACCTCATTCGTAAACTTTCGGTTATACCATTTTGAGTTCATCTTTATCGGCCATTTTGTCTTCTCTTCCCATTCGTTAGCAGGTGGAACGTTTTTAATTTTTTTCAGTCGTCGTTTTTATTTTAGCTCCGTTCCAATAAAAGAATCTACTAATTTTACAACTTTTTACTCGAAAACCGTTCCTGAACCCATAAAACTGTTAAAGCATTGAATCAAATTTAAGAGAGCACAAAACAAAATGGCTTTCTCTTTGTAAACTTTTTGTTATGTTGATTTTGAAGTATTGCCATCTAATTTTGGCATATTTACTAGATTTGCGTTTCCGAACTTTTCAAATTATTTTGTACTCTGAGACTTGAAATGTTTCCCTTTTACTAGCTTTACTATTAAACAAGTGAAAAAGCGTTAAGTTCGGCCGGGCCGAACTTTGGATACCCTCACCCACAGCTATACTGACAGGTATTTGAAATGAAAAAGTGGACCGATATTTATAATTTTAAATAGAGATATTTGGTACCCAATATGAACCCACTGTACCAAATTTCAGCGAATTCGGTTGAAAATCGCGCTTAAGAACCTCAAAATACCGAAAATTTAGGGTACTCTTATATGGGGGCTATCCGAAAAAATGTACCTTTATTTATAATTTTTGGTAGAGAGATTTGCTACCCAATAAGAACTCAAAGTACCAAATTTCAGCGAATTCAGTTGAAAAACACGCTCAAGAACCCCAAAATACCGAAATTGGGGGGTACCCTTATATGGGGGATATCCGAAAAAATTGACCTATATTTAAATTTTTTTGTGGAGAGATTTGGTGCTAAGAACTCAAAATACTAAATTACAGCCAATTCGGTGAAAAATACGATAAAAACCCCAAAAATACTGAAAATTAGGAGGTACCGTTATATGGGGGCTACAAGAAAAAGTGGACCTATATTTATAATTTTTTGTGGATACATTTACTACAAATTCGCTTGAAAAAAGCGCTCAAGAACCCCAAAATACCGAAAATTGGGGGGTACCCTTATATGGGAGCTATGCCTAAACGTGGACCGATATATCCCATCTTCGAACTTGACCTGCCTACAGACAAAAGACAACCCTATGCAAAATTTCAGCACCCTATCTCAATTCCTTCAGAAGATAGCGTGATTACAACAGACGGACGGACATGGCTAGATCGTCTTAGAATTTTACCCTGATCAAGAATATATATACTTTATAGGGTCGGAAATGAATATTTCGATGAGTTACAAACGGAATGACAAAATTAATATACCCTCCATACTATGGTGGAGGGTATAAAAAGTACTGGAACAGACCATTTGTTGGCGAAGGTTTGCGTACGACGTCGCTTGAGTCTTGGCAGAACGACGATTAACAAGCGAATTTTATGAAGGCTGGAGTCTTGGAGGCTTCCCACTGTTCTTTTGAATCTCTCTCTCTCTCTCTCTCTCTCTCTCTCTTTTATTATTTTTTTTTTTTTGTTTTTCCATATATAGTTCCTTTGCTCCAAATAGTTCCTTTGCTCCATATAGTTCCTTTGCTCCATACAGTTCCTTTGCTTCAAATAGTTCAAAAAAGGAACTGGATCAGAGAAAGGAATTATATTAATTAAAGAACTGGAACTAGTTCCGTTCGTTCCTTTCTCGGAATAGTTCCAATGAACTAGTTCGTTCCGGAACTACCAAACTGCAGTTGCAATTTCGCTTTGTTTTGCCGATATAGAAAAATAAATAATTAACTTGCAAAACTTTCATTTTAAATCTATTGGGAATACAACAACAAGTGGATTTAGTGGAGGATTCTTTAAAGATCCCGAAAAAATGAATAACATAATTGTTTTATTATTTCTAATATCCAGTACTTGCAATACGCTGCTAATCAAGTTAGTATTGAGTTCTTTTGTTTTTGCGAACGAAATACATTCCTTATTCTTATTTTGTTTTTGTTGTTTTTCGTTTGCCCTGCTTGGCTTTAATTGCATTACAATGGACAAAATAATCCAATCCCTTTCCATGTTCGGAAACGCTAATACTGATAAAGATGGACGAATACATTAAAGGGTGAATGTTCCGATGGCAAATGGCGTTATTTTCAGCATCCTGTAAGTGTATCTCAGTTGTTATCGCGCTGTATATAGTTTGTGTTGACAATATATACTACATAATATATATGATGTGTATATATGTATATATTCTAAATAATTTCCATTTGTTTGCTGTTTCCATCCAACAGGTCGCCCTAACCTTTTTAATGTTCTTGGGTGAATGCATCTGTTTTCTTATCTACAAAACTATCTTTGCTTTATTGCGTCGACGGAATGTAAGTAGTAGTGATAGCCACCGGAAAATGTGACCTATTTGTTAATTATATATTTAATTGCTGTTGTTGTTTTTTATAGGATGGCTCTGAAGATAATAATCTGTTGACAAGCGGTGACCGTGAATTTCGACCAATGGCAATGTTATTACCGGCATTTTTAAATACCATAACAACGATCCTATTATTAACTGGTCTATATTTGACATATGCATCCAGTTTTCAGGCTATTCGATGTAAGTTTGGAATATTAAGGAAATGAATTACATAGAGAAGTTAAACTAACACGTAGATGTTCTGCATATAAAAAATAGCCTTTGGATGTGTAGAAGAGAGGCTTCAATATATTCTTTAAAAACCAACGAATTGTGAGCAGAAACGAGGCTTCGAAATATTCCTTTAAAATCCCCGTCTATTGATCTGTACCAAGGGTTTAAAATATCCCTTAAAATCCACACCTTTTGAGCTGAATCGAGGCTTCAAAATATTCCTTTAAATTCCACGCCTTTTGAGCTAAACAAAGCCTTTTGAGCAGAACCGAATCTTCAAAATATTCCTTTAAAATCCCCACCTTTTGAGCTGAAGCGGGGCTCCAAAATATTCCTTCAAAATCCACGCCTTTTGAACCGAACCGAAGCTTCAAAATATTCCTTTTTTTTATTTGAATTTTGCCTTGTAAGGGCAGTGATCATTTGAAAGTATTTTTAAGTGATTATTTAAACTTTTCATTGCAAAACGAGCCATCAAAATATTTTGTTAAAATTGACGTCTTTTGAGCTGAACCGAAGCTTAAAATATTTCTTTAAAATCCACGCCTTTTGAGCTGAACCGAAGCTTCAAAATATTCCTTAAAAATCTCTACCTTTTGAGCTGAAGCGGGGTTCCAAAATATTCCTTAAAAATCCACGCCTTTTGAGCTGAACCAAAGCTTAAAAATATTTCTTTAAAATCCACGCCTTTTGAGCTGAAACGAGCCTTAAAAATATTTTATTAAAATTGACGCCTTTTGAGCTGAACCGAAGCTTCAACATATTCCTTTAAAGTCCACGCCTTTTGAGCTGAACTGAAGCTTAAAAATATTCCTTTAAAATCCACGTCTTTTGAGCTGAACCTAGGTTTCAATATATTCCTTCAAAATCCACGCCTTTTGAGCTGAAACGAGCCTTCAAAATATTTTGTTCAAATTCACGCCTTTTGAGCTGAACAAAGGCTTGAAAATAATCATTAAAAATACACATTTTTAGAGCTTAACCGGGGCCTCTTCTCCTAATAGAATTAATGTAGGTGTCCTACAAACATTTTCGATTCCATATAATACCTTTTTTCAATTCTAATTCCCCTTACATTTGTTTTCCTTTTTTACTTTCAGGTTCCACCATAATATTTGTCGGCCTCTTTGGCTCGATCTACTTAAATCAACACCTCATCGGACGTCATTGGTCGGCAATAATTATTATTGCATGCGGTCTTACAATTATCATATCCAAAGATATGCTGCGAGTAGAATACGAACAGACCTCATTGGCTCATCCCAATTCCAATGCTGTACTTTCCGGTGATTTACTTATCATTTGTGCCTCTATATTCCAGGCGGCTAAAATGACATTTGAAGAGAAATATGTCAAGGCGTGTAATGTACCAATTTTACAGGCTCTCGGATGGCAGGGAATATGGGGTGTTGTGATAACCTCCCTGCTAGCTATCTGTATGAATTATTTACCCACCCCCATATCACCGTTCAATGATAGTACCCGTGAGGTATTCGATGACCTACAGGATATTTTCAGTCAATTGCAAAGTAATCCTTGGCTTTTGGTTGCCGTTTGCATTTTTGCTGTTACCACCGCCATACATGGTTTCACCAGTCTAGCCATTATCCGTTTCTCGTCGTCGGCAAATCTCGTTCTGGCCGATAGTATTCGTTTCTATTTCGTGTGGTTGATGGCATGTCTCTTGGAATGGGAGTACATTAATTTGGTCACAATCATTGGCTATTGCATTTTACAATTGGGTTTGATTACCTATCGTCGTGCCACCATTTTGGAATGGTATCGTTCGATATTGTTGCGTATTGCGCGCAATCGTTATGCGGAAATGACTGCAGATCCGGCAACGGGAGTTGGTGGTGCTGGCATACCAACAAATCGACCAGCTGATATAATTTAATTTTTAATCGAGGGAAGTGATTGGTGCTTAAGAAGTAATCTATCATTTAGATGTTATTTGTGATAAAAAAGGAAAGGAAATAAGAAATTTATTAAAAAAAAAATAATAATAAAAAACAATACGAATATCTAGAGCCTAGCTATAGAATTGATTGATATACGATATGGTGTCGCATATTAAGAAGGAGAAGAAAATATTGAAGAATTATAAGACTTGTTTGTATAAGTTGGCAAAATAATTTAAATAAGAAAAGAATAATAAATTAAGTAGAATATATAAAGAACATAACTGCATTTCATATTTTAAAGTGGTTATAAAAAGACTTCAGTGAAATATTTTTGGTGTCCATAAGAAGAAATTCTATGAAGAAAAAGACCTTCAGCTCTTCTATGAAGAGGAAGACCTTCTGCTATTAGGAAATGACATTCTGGTATTCTATGAGATTACCTTTATATCTTCTGAGGGAATACCTTCTTTTTTGAGAATACCTTCCCGTTTTTTATGAGACGATATTCTGGTCTTCTATTACAGGATTCACTGAGAAGAGTATCTCCTATTCTATGAGAATTATGTGAGAATACCTTTGGACTTCATTAAAAATGCATTACCTTTGGTATGAATACCTTCTATCAGGATTTTTAAAAAGTATTTTCAAGGTATGTTAAAATCAAATCATATGCTATGATCTGCTCAATATGCGTGGATTTTGAACGAATATTTTGAAGCCCTTGTTCATTTCAAGGGGTGTATATTTTTAAGGAATATTTTAAAGCCTCGTTTCAGCCTAAAAAGCGTTGATTTTTAAAGAATATTTTTAAGCCTCGGTTCAGTTTAAAAAGCGTGAATTCATAAGGGATATTTTGAAGCCTCGGTTTAGCTTAAAAATTGTGGATGTTTAAGGAATATTTTTAAGCCTCGGCTCAGCTCAAAAGACGTGGATTTTTAAGGAATATTTTTAAGCCTTGGTTCAGCCCAAAAGACGTGGATTTTTAACCGCTTTCCAATTTCAAGTACAAAACAACTGTGCATTTAATGACACTTTTTTTTTAAATTTGGTGAATTTTTTATAATAAACGTAATTCAAAGAGCTCAAAAGGCGTGGATTTTTTAAAGATTTTTAGTAGCACGCATCGAGCTCAAAAGGCGTGGATTTTTTGAAGATTTTTACAAGTACGTCTCAGCTCAAAAGGCGTGGATTTTTAAGGAATATTTTAAGGTCTCGGTTCAGCTCAAAAGGTGTGGATTTTCAAGGAACATTTTTAAGCCTCGGTTCAGCTCAAAAGGCGTAGATTTTTTAGGAATATTTTTAAGCCTCGCTTCAGCTCAAAAGGTGTGGATTTTTAAGAAATATTTAGAAGCCCAAATTCAGCTCAAAAAGTGTGGATTTTTAAGAAATATTTAGAAGCCCAAATTCAGCTCAAAAGCCGTAGAATTTTAAGAAATATTTTGAAGCCCAGCTTCAGCTCAAAAGCCGTAGAATTTTAAGAAATATTTTGAAGCCCAGCTTCAGCTCAAAAGCCGTAGAATTTTAAGAAATATTTTGAAGCACAGGTTCAGCTCAAAAGCCGTAGATTTTTATAGAATAAAAATAAGAAGACCTTCAGCACTTCTATGCGAAGACACTCTACACTTTCATAAAGAATTCCTGCTGTTGTCCCTTGTTTGCTCTCCTATTAGCTGACCTTTGAGGTTATTTTATAAATAAAAATGCATTTTATTTTTAATTTTTTTAATATCTTTATTTACTTAAATGTATACATTATAATTGGCATTATTTACTAAATTTATTTATGTATATATATCTCATCATATTATGCTCACAAAACAAATTAAATTATATTGAACATCTATGGAACTAAAATTTAAACAAAAAAAAAAAAGAAATTGGCAAATTAATTTAATACGATGTAATAGCCTAACTATGCGTTTTAATGTATATATAGGAAACAACACGAACACACATACATATTTAATATAAATTGTAAAAACTTTTATTTTATAATAGCAACTATATTTTGTTGGTTTTTTAATGATATGGCAATTAAGAGTAAAACATTGAACATTCAGAACAGAGACACAAAAAATACGACAAAGAAGAAAAATGCAAAATCTAAAACTGTTTTGGTATGCTTGTCTTTTGCTGTTGTTGTTATTGGAAAACATGTAGACATAAAACAACACACAAAGAAGAACAAATATTTAAATATTACAATGATTATATTGGACACCATCTTATTATCTTCAATAAACATTTTCATTTGTTTCCTTTCAAATTTTCAAACTTTTAGCAGGTATTTGTGGTTATACACATAACATTGTAAATTCAACAAGATCGCATACAAAACAATTCGTTTATAAGGATCTCATTTTTTGTAATGTGTTTTCGTTCAATTCCAAAAAATTATTCAAACATTTAATGGATTTTTCCAAAGGTATATTGTTAATAGATTTGGTTTATTAAAAAAATTCACTTAAAAGGAATTCTTTATAAACAAAATAGAGTACCTATTTATGTATTAATCGTGTATTCCTTCAAGTTCTCTTTAATAAAGGTATCTGTTTTTTTCCTACGAGTCTCCATATTAACGAACTATTTGGTATGCGTTTTTTTAATAATTATTTTTTATGGAGTTATAACTGTTTGTATATATGTATGTAACGTCTGCGTATATGTTAAAATATAATTATGCAACAATTTATTATCATTATTATATATGGCAAAACAAATATCTATGGAGATGGTGGAGTAAAATCGTGGAAGTGTTGAATGATTTCGTTTAGAATTTCTGCATTATTTATTGTCTTGTTAATTAGTTAATTACATTTTGAGTGAGTGTGTGTGTTTTTTTGTTAACTTTTTATATGTGGATTTTTGAAATATGGGGGACTTTTAAAACAAAATTCATTTTCAGGCATTTTTTATTTACATTTATGTTAAAAAAATATATATTTTCTGGGAGAAGCTTGTGTTAGGTATGGGTAGACGGTCACTTCATTGGCAGGCGTTTAGGGTTATAATAAAATCAATTTACCGAAAAAAGTTAATCATAACCTCATTTTCTTTTCCTTCTTGTTATTTGAATGGTTTGTAACACATAATTATTTAAAAGAAAAATAAACTTTTTTCAAGCTATAACATTTTTGCACTATACACAACACATAACTTTTACATGGACATATTATTATATATTTCATTGTTGTTGGTTTTGTTACGAGAGGACGACTGTTCATCACTGGAAATGCTATAGTTTCCTTAACTGGCTTTTTTCTTCGGGTTTGTTTTGTTTGTTTTATTGGTGACTTTGTGTGTGTGTTTTTTGTTCATTTAAGATGATTTCTTAACACCCAGCAATCCCTCGGCTACACCCAAAAAGTATACAGTTTGGGCAATACCAAACAGTGGAGCAATCACAATCATACGGCAAAGGCCACCCTTGAAGAAGGCTGTGGGTCCTTCATATTTCATGGTTTTGCTATAATAAAACAAAGAGAAAAAAATTATTAGATATACAAATAATACAATAAAATATTACAGAAGAAGGTCTTCTCATTGAATAGGAAAAGGCCATGAGAATCAAAAAAGGACATGAGGCTTTTTTCTTAAGGCCTTTTTCTGAGGGACTTCTTAGGAAAGTTGAGAGCTTCTTCTTTATAGAAGTGTTGAAGGTCTTCTTCATAGAAGAGCTGAAGGTCTTCTTCTTCATAGAAGAGCTGAAGGTCTTCTTCTTCAGAGAAGAGTTGAAGGTCTTCTTCTTCAGAGAAGAGTTGAAGATCTTCTTCTTCGTAGAAGAGCTAAAGGTCTTCTTCACAGAAGAGCTAAATGTCTTCTTCAGAGAAGAGCTGAAGGTCTTCTTCACAGAAGAGCTGAAGGTCTTCTTCACAGAAGAGCTGAAGGTCTTCTTCTTCATAGAAGAGCTGAAGGTCTTCTTCTTCATAGAAGAGCTGAAGGTATTCTTCTTCACAGAAGAGCTGAAGGTCTTCTTCTTCATAGAAGAGCTGAAGGTCTTCTTCACAGAAGAGCTGAAGAAGGCCTTCTTCATGGAAGAGTTGAAAGAGCTGAAGACCAGAAGGTATTCTCTCAGTAGATAAAAAAATGTATTTTTGTAGATCCTCTCCATAGAAAGTAAAAAGGTTTCCTCATGGAAGACCAGAAGATATATGATGATGATGATTAGAAGCTTTCCTCATACAAGACCGGAAGCCTTTCCCATAAAACATCAAACGATATTTTCTTGGGAGACAATATTTTATCTCATAGAAAGTCAAATGGTATTCTTATAGAAGATAAAAAGATCTTCCCATTAGAATATCAAAGTAATTCTCACGAGAAGACAAAAGGGTCTGCGCTTTAAAAGACTGGAAAGTCTTCTCATGAAAGGCAAAAATTCTTCAGATAAAAGAACAGAGAACAATGCGTTCCTTCTTACAGAAGACAAAAAATTTTCCCATTGAAGACAAGAAATTCTTCAGAATAGGTTGGTTTAAAATACCGCCTATTTGTCTGGCCAATACTTACGTTATACAATCCATAATGCCCTTAAATTCCTTTTCACCATCAGCCTTCTTAATGGCCTGCAGACGAGTTTTCACCACATCGAAGGGATTAACAAAGAGGGCAGCAAATGAACCGGCAGCCAAACCAGATAAGAATGAAACCCTATAAAAAGAAAAGCGACAACAACAAATTTATAATTTTCTACAAAACAAAATATTTCTTTTCTTACCAGAAAACAGCTTCACCAGAACCATCATTGCGGCGTGGACCGAATTTATTAAGTGTTGCAAACAATGGGAAATACACAATCGAAAAGGTAACATCACGCAGGCCGGTAGCACCAATACCCTTGTACAGGCCGAAAATACCTTTTCTTTTAACAGTAATTGACTAGCCAATTTGGTGGCGGAAATTTTCTCCACAACTTTACCAGCCTCCTTCGCCTGGGCAGCAACACGACCAGCGTCTTGCATTTGAATTTTCAACAGTTCCATAGGGGTGGTAACAATAATTTGGAATGCACCCGCCAAACCGCCAGCAATCATTTGACTAGTCATTGGCAGTTGACCATCTTTGGTGGTCAATTTATGGCGGAAATAATCATTAGCCGTTAGTTTAATGGCTTTTTCAGGAGTGATGAGCAGGATGTTGACACCGGAACCACGATACATGCCAAAGTAACCTTCGGCACGATATGTTTTGCGGAAACAGTCGAACCTAAGGATGTGAAAATTAAATATTGGATTACAGGAAGTTTCGTTTTTTAGTTGCATTTGTATTTTTATTACTTACATATTTTTGTACATTTTCTCGCCATTTGGACCCACCTGTTGATTCTGCAGGCGAGTTTTGACCAAATCCAGCGGGAATACACATGATACACCAATGATGCCGGCAATACCGCCGTTGATGATTTTTGGTAGCAAACTGTAATAGTGGGGTTAAGGGAAATCGGTTACAAATGAATGGAAAATTCTGTTTATTTTGAAAATTATAAAATATTTTCAATGCCTTTGATTAAGGCCATACAAAATTGTAAGGAATATTCCATGAAGTCGGTTTGGGACTCATCTGCCTCTTTAGATTTTCCTCTTACTGGTTTTTAGCTTTATCAATAATTAACTTCAATTACATTTTTCGTATGTCCAACAACAAGTCCCCATCCTCCAGTCCCATTCAATATTTGACACAATCATAAATATTAATAATGCAAATATAAAATGTCAACAACATCAGTACCTGTATTTGTAATATTAATACAATACACAATAACTATTATTATTGACTTATTTATCGCTAAATTCCATACAAACAAACAAAATCGAACTAATTCTTATCGACAACCAACTATCAATATAATTTATTGATGTCCATAGATGTCCACGGCAACGTTAAATGTTTATTAAATTTTCATAATCAATATGAGCCAAAATAATAATCGTTTGGAAAAAAATATCAATCACACGCGACATCTAATTAGCACACACATAAAACGCTTTCTATGTGGGTCTGTTTTTTATTTATAAAAAAAAATTATTTGCCTTGTTAAACAAATGATTGATCAATAATGAAAACAGCAAAAGCAAGCAAACCAAAACAAGCATTAATTAATCCCACCCCTCAGCCATCATAGAAAAAAAAAACAATTACAATTTAATGTTTATTTATCTTTCTATTGTGGTCTTTTGTTTGTTGCTGCTTGGTTTCATTCAAATTTATTTATTTATTTTCTTTGTTGCTGCTGCTGTTTGTTGATTGATAAAATGCCATAGAAAATAGGTACAATGTTAACTTTTCCGTTGTCAAGTTTAATGGGCGCCAAAATAATTAGTGACAGCTACTAAAATTGTTGCTGCTCACATACATATGTCTCTCACTCAATTGAGTTGGCGGCAGTGATGCCAACTTGGTGATTTTTTTTTACAGCACATATGTTTGGTGTGTTGTCTTCTATAAGAACAGCAAATGGGATTTGAAGAGAGTAAAGAACATTTGGACATATAAAATGATTCGACGGCATATTGTTTGTCTACGGTATATTCCTTTTTATATTTTTTCTCAATAGTCTTTATGTTTTCTAAATTTAGAAGTAACAAAGTAAAGGTTTTATTTATATTAAGATGTTGACAACACTGCAAGCTGTTGTGTGTGAGACATCAGGTTAGATAAAGAAACGTTAATCACAATCACTCGCTCTCTTATTGCTATTCTCTGAAAATACATCAACGTCACTATTCAAGTGTTTAAATGTCAGAAAATAATATGCAATGCACTAGACAGACAAATCACTGGCGGGAAGCATGATAAGTTTCCTGTTTTTAAAGAAATATATGTTAAACAAAACTAAATAGTATAAATATAGTAAAACTGGAAGAGTGAAGGTTAAACAGGACAGAGAACTGGTGTTTCATTGAATGGGCATATGAAGCGTTTTCTAGATAATGAATTCTTTGACAAAACAGTAAGCATGATTCGATTTGATTCAGCGTAATTAAATGTATTTTAATTCTAGTGAAGAAGAGAACGAACTCCAAATTGTCCAAATCAGATATGGAACGAAAACATTTTATTAAAACGTTGTAGGTGGAATTTGGTATAATATGCCTCATCAGAGGAGTTCTCCAGGAGGAGGAGTTCTTCCTTTTTCTTAACTTAAAAATTCTGGGCGAAATAAATACAAGCTATCAACATACGACTTTTGTAAGGCCACATAGCCCAATATGCCTGATGAGCCGCATAACCAACGGCGACAAGCGTGGCATAATGGTGGGTACGTAGGTTCTTCTCCTGGCTTTCCTTTTCATTGCAAAGCTCGATTTGAAAGAGTATAAATAATCACTTAAAAATTACTTTCAAATGATCACTGCTCTTACAAGGCAAAATTCAAATAACAAAAATTCTGCTCCCACTATGCGACGAAATGTGTCTTTGGAAAGCAAGCATATAATTCTGTATTTAAACATCTTTCAACATAACAGGATTCCTTCAACAGAGGATTTCCCCATATCTCTACGGGGAATCAACACAAATTTATTTTTCCTGTTTTCTTCACATACAAATTCTATTCCCACTATGAATTTAGCAATGAGACGGCACGTGTTTTTAAAAATCAAACATAGGTATAAATCTGTATTGAAAAATCCTTCAACATAACCTCAATTATAATATATCTTCTCCCGAAAACTTATGACCATACCCCACGTAATTTAATAAATTTTGCATTTGAAAGTGACATTCATTGGCCTTGTGCGGTGATACATATTGGGTGGCAACAAATACAATTTGACACACACACAAGCTCACGCAGAGGGACAACAATGTATAAAAAAAACAGAAAATGCGCAAAATAGACAGAATTTAATTTACATATTTTCCCTATGCATCATTTAATAGCGTTGAAATATTTTTAGAATTTCTATTTATATTTTTTTTTTTTTTTTTTTTGGTTTCAGTGAAAGTAAGAATATAAATGGTGGGTGGGGATAGTAAACAAAAAATCGAAACCTGTATAACCTGTGAAATAAAGACAGATATATGAGCGAAGTGATAAAATGTAGACCCACCTCCAAAGTTAATCGTTTATATTGGCTTCTTTATATATTTTTATTTTAATTCAATTACCGTTATTTGTTTTTTTTTTAACCACCCTAATAAACAACACAACAATATAGTCTGGGATTCGGAGAATGTGAATCACGTGCATATTTTTCTGATAACCTTTCAATAAAATAAAAAAAAAAATATCAACAACAAAAAAACAAGACTTACGCAAATTGCTGTTGTTGCTGCTGATCTTGTTGTGGGGCCATTCTGCAAAAGAAACAAAATAAAGAAAAAAACAATCAATACAGGTTTAAAGACCTTTAAGGAAATTGTTAAAAAAAAACAAACAAATTAAAATATTTATGAAATGCAAAGTAGAATTTTTAGGAAACCCATTAAACGAAATTAGACAAATTTGATTAACAAATAGGTATAAGTTTTAAAAATCATTCACATTTCATTTCTAAATTTAAATCTTTTTTTTTTTGAAATCTCGTCCATTAAATACTCTTTTATGATTTCTCTGTGTATTATATTTACAATATGTCATAATGAAGGCGATAGGAAATTACAATATTACAACAAACATAAATACTGCCCTTGTCTCAAGTATTATATGTTGATGTGTATGTACATATGTATGTCAATTTATGAGTATAAACATATTTATTTTAGAGATTATAGTATTTAAAAAAATTATCTGAATATACCAACCATTTGCAGTGTAAATATGTTAATGCACTTGCCATTTATTGTTAATTATTTAAAATTAATAAAGAATACATATATGTGTAATTTTTTTTTTTTTTTGACATATTTGAGAAGAGCGTAATTTTGTTAAATTATAAATCAACATAGTAAACCAGTAAAGAAGTCAAATGTCGGACGGGGACCAACTATATGGGGTGGCATGAATCCACAAAATGTGCTCCCAAGATTCTTATTTATAATATTCTTTGTGTATAATATCATATCGATTGGACCACGTATCATCTCTGCTGGGCCATCGACATGAAATCCTATTGATAGGATATTATTCTCGAAAATAGAGCATCCAAAATTATTTTCAAATTAAATTTAATTTGATTATGTTGGGTGTTTGTTGATGAAATAGATAAATAAAATAATAACATTAATTTATAACAATTTATTTTAGAAGAAAATATGGGTCTGCTCACTTTGCCAAATTGCTGGCTTTGCCAAATTGCTGTCTGTGTGGGGAAAATAACAAAATTGAAAACGATTTTAAACAGACAGACGTTTGGTTTATTGTGATTCAATTCATCACTTGAATTTACGCTGTTAAACAAAACTGCTTAGTACGTTGCAATTAATTGATTACGTCGTCGTAAGTCAGCCAGTCAGTCATTCACTTCAGTGTAGATTTCGATGAGTATTTGACACATTTATGTGATGTTGTTGTTATTGTTTTGTTACAAAAACGCAAACAAATCATTGATAATGCTTGTCTGTGCAAATACAATATATATAGTATATGACCTAGTAGCTATACTAAACATATTGAACATAAAAAACACGACAGGGATTGGTGAAAAAAAAAAAAAATTTAAATCAATTTACAAATACTGCCACGAAACGTTTTAAAACTTCAGAGAATTCACTCATTTTCAAAAAATTCTCTCATCTAATAAGGTCCACCTGTATTTAAATTTTCTGTTCTTGTAGATTTCCAATTTTGCAATATACAATTAATTATTGCAACGCAAACGGCAATGGCATCAATAAATATTGCATGTAATCATATTCGTTAAGATTTATGGTTCACAGACCTAATGAATTATAGATAATTTTTTAATTAAAAAATATTTTTGCGATATTGAATTTTGGAAAATGTGATTTTTTTATTGGTTCATTTTGATTTCAGTTATTCGTTGTTGCTAGGCTTTCTTCGTTTAAGCATTTTGAAAAGCTTTAAAACTAATTTTCACTATAAAAATGTGTGATAGGTGTTAATAGTTTTAATCAATATCAGGCTGACTAGACACAGGCAGACCAGTTTTGCTATAGCAACTGAAAATAAAGTAAACAAATCTGAGAAAAAAAACGTGGATTTTATAATCGATAACTTTGTTTAAGACAATGTTTAAAATTGCGGTAATTTTGGTGGAATTTTAGAATTATAGACGATTATTTCTTCAATATTCATCATCGATCTATTGAATGTTTAAAAAAGGTGTATAAATATTATAGTAAGATTTGTAAACAATTGTTTTTCAAAATTCACCAGACCAATAAGCCCGTTTTTTTATGGAAAATTTTCCAGCGACCATTTAAAGCGTGAATTTTTACAAGATTATTTTTAGAGGGGACTTTCTTGCGTGAATTTTTAAAGAATACTTTTTTCGACGACCATTTAGATGACCGTTTTCAAATTTAAAAACACTTTCTCATTTTCCAAACACCTTCTAAAAATCAGGCTGAATTTTTAAAAATTTTTTCAGATACCTTGTGATTTTTCAAACTCCTTCTGACCAATAAACTGATTTTTTTTAATTTCTTTCAAGTACATTCCAATCGGAATAAATTTTGCAAATAACTTCTGATTTTTTAAACACTATTCAGGTAGATTTTTTTCATGATTTTTTTAAATAACTTCAAACTGATTTCAACCAACAATCAGGTTGAACAAAAACATTATACAATGTACTACAGTGTGGTTAAGGGTATAAAAACTCGTAGACCATCAGAACAATTAATAAAAATAAAAAACAGTAAAGAATGTAGTAAAGTCGGACCTAATTCAGTACCCTATACCAAATTTCGTGCAAATCAAAAGATATATAGGGATTTTGGCACACCATTTACATTAAATCGGACGAAATTATATATGAGGGAGCTATATCTAAATCTGACCCGATTTTCTCGAAACTTTCACACATCATTCCAGACTTAATTCAGTACGATATGCCAAATTTCGTGCAAATCGAAAGATATATGTGGATTTTGTTACACCATTTACATTAAATCGGACGAAATTATATATGAGGAAGCTATATCTAAATCTGACCCGATTTTCAGGAAACCTAACACACATCATTCTATACATAAATCATTACGCTGTGCCAAATTTCGTACAAATCGAAAAGTATATAGGTACTTTGGTGCCCCTTTTACCTTAAATCGGAAGAAACTATATTCGGGAGCTATATCTAAATCTGAAGCGATGTTCCCCAATTTCAATAAGATTTGTCCTTGGGCCAAATAAGTCACTTGTGCCAAATTTCATCCAAATCGGATTATAAATGCGACCTGTACTTTGTTTACAATTTAACATCTAAATCAACTCAGAAAGTGATTCTCTGCATATTCCATGTGTCTATCTCGTTTTCTTTTGTCTGTTACAAACATATGCACAAGACATAATACCCTGTAACACAGTGTGGTGAAGGCTATAAAAAACAAAAAAGGATACATTTTCAATTAAAAAAATCAAACCAGTCCAGGAAGGCTGAATTTTTTTAAGGATTTGCAAACCAATTAGCCTTGATTTTTTTTTTCAAGAATATTGGCAATTAAATGAGCCAGGATTTTTATTTATTTATTTTTTAAATTGAATTTATAGTAATAGTAATTTTCTTATCAAGAACCTTCGGATCGATAAGCCTAAATATATATATATATATATATAATATAATCATAAATTCTTAAAGATTTTTTCAGGACCACCTTGCCCTTGTTGTTAAATGAAACAAAAAACAAAATTGTTACAACACCTGTCAATAGTTTGAATATCAAATATGTATCAGAAACAAAAACAACAAGTATTGATTTGACTACATAATGAATTAAATATAGTTTTATAATCTTTATAGCCGCAATTAAGGTACCAAACAAACATGTGGTCTATATTTCAGATAAGATGTAGGGAATTTACTAATTAATAGTGGTTGGTGTAGTTTTTGTAGGACTTCAAATATTTTATTCGACATTCAATGTCTGAAAATTTTGCAGGCAGTGGATTTTTGTCTTAAATTGGCTTTACGGGCCATGTTTACCATTGACAATTCTTTTGATACTGATAAAAAAAATCAAATTTTTATTAAGAAAACAATATTTCCTGATCCTTCCTATTTTCCTCTTTTACTATATTTATTTCTTCCTAAAAAGAAGTCGATTTTGATGGACCTTTCTGAAATGAGTTCTGGAACTGTCATATCAAATATATTGGCTGCATAGACTTTGAATGGATTTGAAATATTGAAAATGTATGGAAGTCTTGTGGACAACAACTGACTGACGTCTCTCTAAGATAAATTTAGTGGGTTTTTATTTTCTAAAAATAAATAAAAAAATATAAAAATGCATGACCGTATATTAAAAAATGTTAATAAAAACATAACGAACCCAATCATTGCCTAATTTTGTTTTTTTTTATGACCTTCATAGAACACCAACCAACCACACAGACATTTCGAAGGCAAAATGCTATATAAAAAAGTGTAATCAATATTCAGCGGCATTTTGCCATCCAGCCAAAAGAATATATTATGGGGTTTTTTATCGCAACAAAATAACAATAATATTGTTGTTTCTCTTTTTTTTGTTTTTCCATTTGCTTTAATAAAAACATAAAGATATAAACAAACTGAACAAAAATCAAAAAGAACTTTGCTCCTGACAACATGATCTAGTGTATAGACTGGAGTTGGCGTTATTTGATTAGAAATGTTGGAATGAACCAGTTTCGTTGAATAGTAACGACTTCTTCAAACCAATGGATGAATGCGTCGTCAGCAGAGCTCACAATAAAAAAAATCAAAGTGAGCAATCGCACTACTAGCCAAAAAGATTGTGGACTTAATGAAGCAAAAAAAGCAACAAGCTCTGATTACAGCAACTGCATGACAGGCAGGCAGGGAGGCACACATTCAAGCTCCTCATGTTAACTACCCCCAAAAATGGGGAGGCCATTAGCTCTTTTCCCATACTTTGTATTTTACGTAATTTAATTCACACATCATTTTTGATACAATATATTATTCAAAAAAATGTATTCTATATCTTCCTCTATATATGCAGCTATTTCAACAAATATACATATATTCATTTTGTCAATAAATACACAGCTAAATTTTTGCAAACTTCCAATAAACAATGTCATTTATCAACAAGAATCAACATGACATATCTTTTCTCTCGTTCTCTTTATGGTTGTATTAACTTACTTTGTTTATTTGTTTTTTTTTTCTGTGATTTAATTATTAATTGACTTGAGAATTTAAATTTGTTTTTGTTGTTTATTTAATAAATATTTAATTTTTTAAACACACACACTTAATTCTAATGCAACCCCGTGCAAAAAAAACCAGCAGCCGACAGAAAATCAGCCGTTCGACTGAATTTGAAGGTTGATGGTCATGTTGCCACCTATACTAATGAGAATTAGTAGATGACAATGTCAGTTAGTCAGTAACGTAACGTATAAAAGTGTACGTGAGTACAAGAAGGGAATTAGTGGCGAATGTTGTGAACGTAAGGAAAACGTAAATATTTATAAATGGTTGCTTTTATTTTATTCAAAGGATTAAGGTGCGTTTAGACTATGCATTCCAAATCGACTAAATTTGTAAATCGAGGAACTAAATAATAGCTGTTTAGATTGGTATAAAAATTATATAAAGTTAACTTCAGTTGTGATCATAAACTCAGAGCGTTACATCAATACATGGTACAATTAATGGCATAATTACACAAGGTAGTCTTATGCAGACATATGATTCCATTTTTTTTTTTCATATTTTTTACTTTTGACAACATTCAGCTTTTTAAAATTTTAATGAAAATGGCAATAATTTTAAAATGTTTATTATCTTGAAGTTTCAAGCCTCTATAATCTGTAAATATATTTTGTAACATCTATGTTATATCTTAAGAGCAATATTAATAAAAAAAAGGAAGATATTTCTTTACAGAAAGTATACATTTTTAATTTCTTTTTTTATATATGCCATTGGACATGCGTAAAATTTTATAGAATTTATTTTTCAATTTGAAATTATGGCATAACCTTACAAGTTAGTCTCATGACGTCATGACAACATTGAACTTTCAAAATTTAAACAAAAATTTCTTCTTACGAAATGTACGCAAATCTTGTGTCCAATGGCCAACATTTAAAAATAAGCTATTTTAGGAATCTCGCCTAAAATTATTTTTATGTTTTATCTATCTCTCCACCCATAAGGCCACTCGGCTAGCAAAAGTCAGTTTTTTTTCAAGTCTAATGTCAAAAATTTGTGCTTTTTTACGTTTTCATAATGGAAATCAGTTCATTCAAATATTTTGTCAGCTAACTTGAGAGACAGCTGATATCCAGCTGTTCTCCCTGTATGACCTTATTAATATGCCTTGCTCCTTAATATGCCCAGGGAGACCAGCTGTATATCTGCGCCACTCCAGTTTGCTGTCAAAATGCATTATTGGGAATTGACTTCCATTATGAAAACGTAAACAAAGTTGAAATATTTGAAATATTTGTTTTCTGATTTCGATTGCTACCTGGGTGACCTTATTAGTATATCTTGTATTATACGTTTCAAGGTGTATTTATATAAGGTGTTTTTGTAAAATAAATTATCAGAATATGTTAGGGTCTTCACCATAAATACTATTTTCAATAAACCTATTCTAAAATAAGCTCGTCTCAAAACGTGTCAGAAAAAATAAGAGGTGAATTTTTTAATAGTGCCATTTTACCGCAATAATACAAGAGTATGTTTATTTAGGAGATTTGTTTAAATAAATTTTACGAAAAAAAATGATTACCAACCCTAATATTCAATTTCCTTGGCAATTTAGATTAGGCTAGTTTGCTTGCGGTAAGTCTTTGTTTGTCGGAGAGAGGGGCAAGGGGAAAATAAATTGAAAAAAAAATGTTATAATGTCTTGATTTAGATTAGGCGAGTTTACTTTCAGCAATTCTTGTCGTTCTATTTTGAACTTGCTTCATGCGTCTATACAAGGCAATTCGGCTTCCAAAATATTTTTCTATTTGTTGTTTTTTCACATTTAAATATATATAAAATGTCAACAAATACGAAATACACAAAACGAATTGCCAGAAAATTGTCGGTACAAGCAATTTTTTTCATTTCTATTCCCCTTGCCCCTCTCTCCTACAAACAAAGACTTGCCGCAAGTAAACTCGCCTAATCTAAATCATGACAATCTCCCAATACATGTATAATTGGCCTTATAGTACGTTTACATTTAACCGGATTAGGTTAACCCAGTGGGTTTCAATTGTCAATTCCTTTGCATATACGTCAAATAAATCCTCATAAAGTAGGTTAACCCGGTAAAAAGTTCTAATCAAGGTGTATTTAATAAGGTGTATGCATCAGATACAACAACAAATATTTTACAAAAACAACATTGTTGTTATAGAAATTAAATTGTCATGCTGACAATAAGTTTTTGACAAAAATAAACAAAAACAATTATTAATTTATGTTTGTCAAGAACTATTCTTTGAGGAATAAATAATCAATTTGTGTATTCTTGGGTTATTGGAAGTTTTAGGTCAGTGATAAATAAAGTTTAAGACCTGGTCGCGATTAATGTTAAGTTTCCCACATGTAGCCCATGGCTCCTTGTGATGTTGTTTATATTGTGGATTATAATCTATGTTTTCTATGTAGTGGCTTCAAATCTTGCCTTCTTAAAGAAAATTGAAGGACATAAATCCACGGCCAAACACTTAATCATGGAAATTCTGCTAACCCCCGCGAGAATTGTGACAAACACCAAGGGGCCGATTCCAATATAGGCTAACATAATCTGCTCTATTTTATGAGTAGCTGGGATTTCTGGACAGATTTCCACATATAACATAATATATGTGGACCAATCGGTGAACGGGGTTATAACTGAGCCTAGGTTTCCTTTCTGTCCCCCTCTTTGGATGTAGTTTTCTTGACTTTTTATTGTTTAAAAAGCCTAAATTTAAACACCATTTTTGAAATCGAAATATACTATTGAAAATGTTTTTGGCAATTTAGTTTACAAACAATAAAGAAAAAAGTTTGAAACCATATGATTGTCACTTACACCTTATTAAATACACCTTGGTTCTAATGTACAAGGAGTTTTAAATGACTTTCTTTGTATTGAAAGCAAATAAATGGAATTTGAAAATTGAAAATAATGTTGTTTTTGTAATATAATTCATTATCTTAATGAACTTAGTAGACTAGTGTAACCTAGTTCATTTGTCCTTCCAGTGAATCTTTGATTGAACCACATCGGCACAGAAAAAGAACAACAACAAAAAGAACTGTTGGTTGGTGCTCGCTTCATTTGTTTTCACCTCATTCGTAAACACGCAAATCGTCCTCGCCTCGTTCGCTTTCAACCACATTCGCCACGGTTGGTCATCGGCTCGTTTGCTTTCACCTTCAGTTTACAGGGTTGTAATTTGTAATTTGCAAACTTTCCGTCTTCTTTTTTGACTTCTTCTTTACCGGGCATTTTGACTTTCCCATCCCATTCGTAACAGGTGGAACGTTTTTCAATATTTCTGTCGGTGAAAAAGGCGTTCGCTTATTACGACTATTGTAAAGCATCTGGGTGACTTGCTCGCTGGACTGGACAAAGATAAGATCCAGGAGTAGAAGATAAATCGAAACTCTGCAAAATAATATAGAAAACTTTCCAACTGGCAATTTCGGAGTTTGTGAAACTGGATAAACGCAAGATGAGTGGTACACGTTTCGCCCGTACGGGGCGATGTCGTTTCTTGGTTTGTTTTGCCATACTCGTTCTGATGGTGGGTATGGTGGTCATATTCCATAGCTCTCAAATACAATTGGATGAGACAAGGGAACAACGTCTGCACTGTGAACAACAGCAAGAGGCGCTAAATGAGCGGTTGACATGTAAGTGGGAAGGGGATTTGGAAACACAACAGCATAAGGTTGGACTTCTTACAAAAATTGGATAAATCTATATTGGTGACGGTCATACATATGTTGATATAGAGTAATGGCTTTGAAAAAACTGTGGAATATGGTATAAAAAATTTGATTTTACTAAATTTATTAAGGCATCCATAATGCAATTCGATATATTCGGTTGAAGGTCATTGACCCATTACCCATATTGTGATTGTTTACGATTAACACTCGTTACATGGAATCTGTAATATTATTTTAAAAATCATTATCTATGATTAATGGCCTACAACTAACCACTAGATAAACATGCCCATATTTAGTATGACAGGCAATCATTACTCTTTAGTTATGGAACATAGAATAGAATCTTGTCTTTCTATATTTCCCCCATTTTTTTTAGCTTTGGTCGAACAAAAATTCCACTTGGAAAAAAGTCAGGAACGTGAACGTACCGAATTTATGGAAACCAAACGTAATCTGGAACAAAAACTGAAAAATCTTGATGAAAAATATCAAAAGGAACAGGTGGAGGCACAAATGCGTTATGACAAACTGGAACAGGCCCATAAGCTACTGCAAAGTAAACACAAGGATCTTAAGGATGAAAGTGCCAAGGCAAATAAACAACATTTGGAAAATATAAATGGTTTGGAAAAGAAGGTGCAATCACTGAAATCCGAATTGAATAAAGAAAAATCAAATAAATCCGGGGAGGTGTATATGTGGAAGGTGAGTACAAACATATATATTATTAATATGTTAATTACAATTTAATTTAATTTCCAGGAAAAATACAATACAGCTGAACAGGAAAAACAACGTTTGGAAAATCTCTTCTCTGCCACAGAGACCCAACAACAAATGGATCGCCTAAAAGAGCTGGAAACACAACTAAAAGAATATCAAAGCCATTGTGATTATAAATCACGAAATCCCCTATTTCCCCAATCCATAAACCCAGACAACATTCCCAGTACCGCCGCCAGTCCGAAGACATTCAACGTACAGGAGCCAGTGAGTGATGGCGTTTACCGTATCTCGGTAAACACAACTAGAAATAATACATTAAACGATATAAAAAATAATAAAAATAAGGCAGGCGATTTTGGTGTTGGTGATGAAATAGGACCTCGCAATACAAAACAAACTAAAACAACAACTACTACTCCTACTACTACTAAACAAGATACACAATTCAATACTAATCCAGTGTTTAAGCCTCTGATAAACAAACATTATAATGGTAGTTTAATACTAAATTCCGTTGAAAATTTTCAGATTGTTCCCAAGCCCATGAAAAGAATAGCCGACGATCAGCAGCAGCCGGAAGAGGAACAACAACAACGACGAGAGGAACATAAACAAGCAGCACCCTTGGGAGCACCCAAACATAATAAATCAGCCGCATCGTCTTCGTCACCAGCAGGAAAATCCGAACCTCAAATGGCAGCCGCTGCAATAAATAATGCCACATCGGCCAATACCAGGACAGCTCGCGATAATGCCCTTAGCAGCAGTACAAGTAGCAACTCACCACCCCTAGCTCTACCACCCAATCAAAAGAAATTACCCGAAAATGTTGCACCATATCCAGAACATTTCGAAGATTTATTACAGAAATCAAATAATGAACAATCGAAAAATGCCGAAGAAGAGGCCAATAATAAAAATGAAGAAAATCTTGCCAAAGCAGCTGCCGCTGGCAGCTTAAAGTCTTCTCACAACAATAATGACAACAACAATAATAATAATAATTATGATTTTGGTGCCGATGATCCCAACAATGATGATGATCTCATGGGTGGCCCTGGTGGTCTCATGGCTGCTGATAATGAAATGATGGATGGTGGTGGTGGTGCTGCTGCTGCCGGTGATATTGCCGTCAAAAACAATCAACAATTGTTGGATGATAATTTAAAGAATGAAGTTGCCGAAGATCAGGGTAAAGAATTTGATGGTTTACGCTTGGATGAAGGTGAAGGTGGTGCTATGGAAGAAGATGATGATGGTATTTATAAATAAAATATATATTTTTAAATTTTTATTATGAAAGTGTGGGGTATCTTTGTTGAAAACTAGGGATCTTTGTTTTATAAAAAAAATTATAATTTTCAGAAGCCTTATTTTTATAAAATTTTAAAATAGCGGATTTTTAAACAATATCTTCAAAATATTTCGAAAGCGTAGATTTTTAGAAAATATGATTTTTAATATATTTATATTTTAAAAAAAAAAAAAAAAATTTTTTTAAGAATTTTCACTTTTTAGAAGTATGTTTATAAATAATTATGGGCTTCTTATTTTTTTTGAAGAATTGTGACTGTTCCAAAAAATAGTAATATGGCTGTATTTGGAAATTAAATATCCTGACAAGGACTACCCCACCCGCCTTATTTAGTGTATATATTTTTTATTTATATACATTTCATAACTTTTTTTCTTAATTTCCAGATGATTATTCAAATCCATCAGCTAAAAGGAAAGCTGATAAAGCTATACGCCATTAAATCGAGCTATGATCGATCGCGAGTATACACATTGAAAACAAAAACACTATTATCGAATATTATAACTATTATTATTATTTATAAATTAAGTATAGAATATATATTTATTATTAAGCTTTCTATTTTGGCAAATTTAAGTACTATGTTAAGTGTGTGATCCATTGCAAAAGAAAATCATTTTTTAAATGGTGTTAAATTTTCTTTAAACAAATTTAATATTTATATCATTGATATAATGCATGAAAAGCTAAAGAATATATTGCGGGACTAATTTATTGATTAATGGATTGCATAGTTTTAAGAAAATTAAAATGTTTAATATTTATAGATTTCATTTCATATGTGTTCAAGGTTTCTAAAGAAATTTTATTGCATTTTTGGTGAGCAGCCATAATTTTAATGGATGTCAAATACAGACAAATTGTTACCAAAAACAGAATTGAGTTTAGGGCGGCAAAGTTGTATGAAAGAAGTCTTGCCTCTTTCAAAATCCAAAAAATCAATATCTAGCAATTTTCTGTGATTGACTCTGTTATAGTTTCTTGTCAGAAATCTATTCCATTTTTGTTGCTCCTTTTTCGAACAAATTTTCATGACAATTTATTTCGGTATTATATTTCACATCCATTTGTCGAAATTAACTATTTGTTAAACTCAAATCACTCAGCCATGCCTACATAAATTTTCGTTAATGTTGTATTTTTTTTTTACTGTGATAATGTTAAAATATTGATAACAAAAAATTGTAATTAAAAAAATTAAATTTCATATTAAAATAAAAGTTTTAGGCCTTTAAAAAACCACTCTCACACATGCATATATTCAAGATTTCGTCTCAAAACTTGTTTTCTTTTTCCACAACGAAAAACTCAAATGTGTAGTAATTAAAAAAAAAACAAACATGTATTTATGTTAAATTGTTTTTCATTTATTTTTTGTATTTTTTTTTATTTTGTTTGGAAACACTAATTAATAATAAATATAAAAAACTTACAATTATTAAGAACAAATATCGTTTTTTCACACTCATTTCCTCTCGCTCTTTTTTTAAATGTGGGTTTTCATAAAAAATCAAATCTAAAATACATTTCCCCAACTATGGCTGGCAATGAAATGGATTTGTTTTTCTTACCACAAGGGTTTCAAACATTTAAACATACTAAAATAAAATCCTTGTAGTACAGAAAGAAAAAACATAAAAATTAGTAAATATTACATAAAATAAATTTAATAAAAAAAACATAAATATTCAAATGACAATTGGCATCACTTTCTGCTCCTCCTCCATCCCCTGCTGCTCACTGGGTATGAGCCAAAATCCATGGATGTATTAATACCTGATCCAATGGCAAACGTTGTTGCGGATTCAATACCAACAGTTTCGATATGAAATGGGCCGCTGCCTTTGTCACATGATCGGGTAGCTTATAATCGACTTTTATAATCTTCTTATATGTATCATCATATTCGGTGGCCAAAAAGGGAGCCCTTCCCACCAACAACTCATAGCACAACACACCCAAACTCCAGAGATCAACATTTTTGGTGTGCGGTTTACCCTGGACCATTTCGGGTGGCAAATAATCCAGTGTACCGCACAAGGTGGTTCGCATTGAATTCGGCTCATGCACAGACCAACCAAAATCGGCAATTTTCAAATCGCCCTTATGTCCGAGCAATAAATTTTCCGGTTTAATATCACGATGTATGACATCACGTTCGTGTAGATATTGCAATGCCGATGCCAGGGACTTGATATAAATTGCCGATTGTCTCTCCTCAAAACGTTTCAGCGGTTGAGCTTGCAGCTCCTTGAACAAGGTACCCTTTGGGGCATATTCCAATATCAAGTAAATACGCGCCTCATCATGAAAATACCCGTACAAACGTAATATGTGAGGATGTCTTAGATGAGATTGTATCTCAATCTCTCGTCTAACTTGATGTTCGACATTGGATTCGTGTATTTGCTGTTTGAACAACACCTTAAGGGCCACCACAAATTTGGATTCTTTTTCTCTGGCCAAATATACATTGCCAAATTTGCCACGACCCAAAGGGCGTCCAATATCGAAATTAGATAGAGACCAGACTTTTTTACTATCCTTTTTCATTTCTAAAAGAAAATGAAGGAAAAATACAAATGTCTCAACGTCTCTGAAAAAGGTTATCTCACAATAAACTTACCAGTCTTTTGTTGATCCTCCGCCGAGGATGATGTTGAACTGGATGCCACCACATCTTGTTCTTTGTTTAATTGTGGTTTATTTGATTTACCATTTTCCTGTTTCATCTCCCCTCCGGCCAAATTCTCCTTGTTTTGTAACTTAGATCCAGCAGTGTTAACAGGATTGGTGGGTTTCTTCCATGTTTCACCCACCACCTTTGGAGCAGAAGAAGCAGTTGAACACATTTTCGATGTTGTGGCAGCAGCCACATTATTCCTTGACACGGTGCTGGTACTTTTGGGTGGTGGCATAACATTATTTGTCATGCCCTTGGCATTCATTTCGGGTAGCTAAATAAAATAATTCTTATTATTATAATTTTTATGAAAATCATTCTTTCTTACCTTTTTATTCATATTACGCTGCTGCTGTTGCAGATTTGTCGTCGTCGCCATACTCCCGCCAATATGATTTTTGCTCGATTGTCCAGCATTTTGTTGTGAATACTCAGCAACATTATTTGCGGTGTTGGTTTTCGTTTTTATTTGTTCCCTCAGTCCAGTGGCTGATGTTTTATACATTTCTATTGGCTTTTTTGTTTACGATTTATTCAGAAAATTCTTTTTTTCGAATTAAATGTGTAATCTTGCAAATTCTTTTTAGTTTAGTTATAGGCAACACACACAGAAAATGAACCGTTTGAATTGATATTTGAACAGAAATGCAATAGTGTGTGTGTGTATGTGCAATATCAGAATTACTGTCAAATGTAAACTGTAATTAGTGAACAACGTAACGTAAGATGGTATATCATAATGAAAACAGCTGATGCGAATAGAAAGCAATGGGAAAATGTGTTTACACAGGACGTTTTTAACAATTACCTATCTGATATATATTATTTAAGTTATTAATCACAAAATTCGTTTATTTTCTAATTTAATTTATTAATCTTGAATTGATATTTGGGAAACACACACAGAAAATGAATCGTTTGAATTGATATTTGAACAGAAATGCAATATTCTCTGTGAGCGCCTGTGTGCAAGGAATATCTGAATTGCTGTCAAATATAAACTGTAATTAGTTCAAAACGTAACGTAAGATGATATGTCATAATGAAAACAGCTGATGCGAATAGAATGGAATGGAAAAAATGTGTTTACACAGGGCATTTTCAGCAATTGCTAAACTGAGATATATATATATATATATATATTTAGAAATTTGGGCAAATTCTAGAAAACATGAAGACTAATTCAAAACAAAAAGCAGAATTAAATTAATCATGTAAGGGAATATTTACACCAAACTTGTTATCTTAATTATTTGACAATTATTGCACGAGCTTAACTGTCGTGTCGTTTGCATAATGCGGAATAAAAAAAAACATAAAATAAGAAATGTGTTATCTTTAAATTACACTGTTTAACAAGTAAAAATTACGTCACTAGTAAATTGAAAAGCATAGAACTTTTTTACATTCAAAGTTTAAAAATATTCTAGATTTGTAGTACGTTTACATTGTACCGGATTTCGTTAACACAGTGGGTTCAAATTCCTTTGCATATATGTCAAATAAATCATCATAAGGTAAGTTAACCCGGTGAAAAGTTCAAAAGTAAAGGCCTTTTTATGACCCTAACCAAAATCTGCATGTACTGAATTTAATAAATTGGGTGCAATGTAAACGTTCTATAACTTTAACTTTTTGCCGTAGGATTGTTTTTACATATATGTAATGCATTTGACATTTCCAGTACAATGTAAATGTTCTATGAGTCTTTGTAATCTTCCTTTCTCAGTGGATATAAACCTGCAGCGTGACATTTACCAAAATTTGATTTATTTGTCTATATAGTGTCCTTAATATAAGGAAATTTTGCCCGACGAAAAATTTTGATAGTATAGGATACTTGTAAAAGAGTGATACAGAAAATTTAGAGTTGTATTTTTATGATGCAAATGGGACAACTGCTTTATTTCTGTTCTCAAAAAGTGTCAAAATATTTAAAATTTATAAACGGGAGAATTGAAAAGCAATTTTCAATAGAATATTCCTGCCCTTTGTGGAGCAGAGCTCATATTTTAATTCATTGTCTTCATTAATTTATATATCCTGTAAATTTGGACTGTATGTTTTTTTTTATCAATTATTGATTTCCAGAAACAATGTATATTTTCGTGATTGCCTAATGAATGACAGACATGAATGGCCACATGATTATACAAGAAAAATTTGGATGAAACACTCTTTAAAATTGGATCGTGTGCAAAATGCTTTAATAAACAATGGACATGTAATTTTTATATATAAATATGAGACGATTATTTATATTATTTTCTCTTCTCTATCTTTTTTTGTTTTTTTTTCATTCCTTAATTAACATAACTACCATTTTTCACATATTAAAAATAAATCTCAAATTGGCATTTTTTTTACAAATAAAACATATTTTATCTGGTCCCCGAATGACGATATTCTGGCGTACACAGCCATACGTCAACATTACGTTACGTATCCAACATTAATTTAGTACAGCAACTTCGCCCAAAATCCCCCAAACTTGGTTGCACTGTTATACGAATGGCAGTTGTTTGGCAGCATTGGCGAAGTCTTGCGGAGAAAAATTGTACATTTTTTGGTCTTTAAAGACCGGAAAAATCATAAAAACATTTATATAAAATGGTAATTAAAATAAATTGTGTAAAAATCACTAAACAATTTGGTGTAAATAAATAAATTGTAAAGTTTAAGAAAATCCCACTTCTGTGTGCATAAAAAAGAAGAAACGAAAAAAAAAAGAATTCACATTTTCTGGTTGGTTGTCTGTGGCTAAGAAAAACGAAGAAGAAGAAGAAAAAACGAAAAAAGAATTTGTCTTCACAAAGAGAGAGAGAAGTGCAAAAGCAAAATAGAAATACGAAAAAAATACATATATGAAATTTGTTATATTCGCCATAGCGTGTGCCAGAAAGAGATAGATGGCTAATGACCGAAACTTGTGTGTGCGTGTGAATGAAAAAGTGTTGTACATACAGAAAAATTAATACACACAGTGTAAAATATGATTGTGAGTGATGATTTTATTCATCAAATTTCTTTTGTGTGTGGATAAATAGAAAAAAAATTTATTTAAAATAATGAAATTTTGAACAAAATGTTCAATGAAATTGTTTTTTTTCGTTGTAAAACAACAAATGATGTTCTCAAAAGAAAAGAAGCTGTCATATATATGTATGACAAAGTGTACACTTTTTAAATGGGTACATTGCTACCGGCATTAGTGAAGTATGATAATGGTAACTATATCCATACTAGTCTATTTCGATATTAAATGAAATGTACCCTGTAGGAAATGTTTTTAGATTTTGATACTAAAAATAAATAAAAGAATATTAGAATGAAAATGTCCCCCAAGAAAAAAAAAGATATCCCCTTGATTAGGGTAAAAATAACTACCTCTGGAAAAAATTTCAGAAAAATCTGATCGTTTTTACTAAACTAGAGTTAAGCCTCGAAAATTTCAATTCTGAGTTTTTGAAGAATGAAAAACTTTGTTATAGTTTTATTTTTCATATTAGGTTTCCAAACAATTTTGTGGCATTTCGAAGAACATTGCCCCATTTTCAATCTAATTTTACTGTATTTTTGAATTTCACATGTTTTTTTTTATATTGACACCTTAAAATTTAGAAAAAAATCGATGAAATAAATTTATCTATCCAATAGAACACATATATTTCTTATTGGATTTGAAAATTAATACCAATTAAATTTTTAGCTAGCCGAAAACGCCATTAAACTACATAAACATTTAGTGCATTTAGTAACGTTTCCAACAGGGTCATTACACAATAAACATATGATTTGACTTGACTGACATTTCATGTCTACCACAACAATATAAGTTTGAAAGAGAACTATAAAAATGTTCTTTCGGTGTTTTTGTTTCTATTTTTTAAATAGAATGCATAGTATTTTCTTTAAATTCAAATAAATATTAAATAAAATACTTAGTTATTTTTCTTCCTCTTTGTTATGCTTTACGTCTACATTTTTTGCAACACTGATGATTGTTGCTGTTTTTATTTTTTGCCCATAGAGTGGCAACACTAACCCCACTACATTTGTCAAAAGCTGCTATATGTGAGAGCGAACCATAGCGCCGTCATCAGAGTAGTAATATTCAAGAGAGTTTAGCATAATAGGAGGAAAACGAATGAAAGAAAAAAATAATAATCGGAAAAAGAATAAATGCAGAAAAGAAAATAAACTACACCCCGACGACGACAAAAGTCTCTGACTGACTACTGTCTGCTGTGTGTTTTACAAAAAGGAATATCATTTTGTGTTGTATATATAGTGAAGAGAGCAAACAAAAAATAAAGAAAAATATATTCCAAAATACATACTTGCAAAAAATGTAGTAATATTAGCAAAATAATAATAAAGGTGATTATAATTTGCCAAAATAAAAAAAAATGGCAAACAAATGCAAAACTTTTTTTCTCCAACTCTGACGGTGGTGGCCTAAATTTTGTGTCAACGCAAAGGACGACAGACAGACAGCTTGGACCACCAACAAGCTGCTGCAAGTTTTTTTTGAAACTACTCTACACAATTTCTGATGGCCAATAAACAAATGGTGGCATATTGAATGAACAAAATAGTGCACGTTTCTGTTATAAAATAAAAGAAAATTAACCAAAAAAAAAAGAAAACTCAAGCAGTCACAATCATTTTTTTATGTGAAAATCAATGAGCAATCATTATACTTTCATAAGTGGTGTATCGTGTGTGCACAAACACACAAATCATGGATTTCTTCATACATACATATATACACAGTGATATCTATATTTAGTGTCATATAGTGTTATCTCTTTCGTTTGTGTGTTACCATACATAGCGGGTTATGCGATAATGTGTGTATTAAAGTCACGCCTGTCTCGTTTGTTTTTCTTTGCCACCAAAAAGAAATGTCAAAATATACAAAAAAGTGAGAAGAACGATAGAGAGATGATGAGAGATATTCAACGATTTTTTTTGTTTTTAATAATACCAAAAGAAAATTTCCAATGAGTGTAGAAAATTGTGAAAGAAGAAGAAAAAGAAAAACCCCAACATCAATGGGAGAGTAATTGAGACTTATGACAGAGAGTGAAGGGGAACATGGATTAAATAAATACTTCAGGTGTTTTATTAAAGTGTTTTTTTTTTTGGTTCTTCTGACGTTATGAATTAAATGACATAAGTGATTAATTGATATAATCAAATATTATAAAAAAACCAAAACAAAAACTAAAAATAAATGTTCATGTGTGTGTAAACGATATCTTTAAATAAATTTGATTTGCTCTATATGTGATTGTATATAATAAAAGAGATAGATGATGGTAGGTTGTGGGAGTTTTGACGTGAACGATTTTGCAAAAGCAATTTGTCATATTCACCCTCACCCTACCCCAAGCCAAACAACCTACATATTAATCCCAAGAAGTAGGAATAAAAAAATGAACACAAGGAAAATGGGGGAATAAGAAAAGCAGGAAAAAACGGAACAAACGAACAACCCAA